AGAGAGAAACAGTCTCACCAACATATACGATTATGTTATACATATTCTTTTCATCAAACAAAACATTAGTCTCGGAAGCATTTCAATAAATATTATGTTGGGCAAAAAAATCTACTTACATTGACTTGGACAAGAATGAAAGAACCGTACGTAGCTAATTACTTTTTAAACATACATAATAATCAATAGAAAACAAAACAAAACAAAACTAATCAAACAAACATAAATATAAAGAAATGAATATATGAAGGCGTCTTTATAAGCTTATTTCATATTATTATTTGGTAGATGAAATTGATGATCCATTTCATAATAATATTGTCCCCTCTGAGAAGCTAAGGAGCATGAGTTGGTAGCATTGAATATTGATGATGATGATGAAAGTAATTAGTTGGTGTCACCACTGGTACAAAATAACACATTGGTTGAGGATGATCATCAAACAACATATTATTCTGATCTATCATCATCATCCCTTGCATTCCTCCTAGTTGATTTTCAACAATATTATTATTGTTATTAACATGATGAGTATTGATCATCATCATCATCTCCGCGGGGAAATTCATTGTTGGTGGAACATCTAATGGCTGCTGTTCTTCTACGATTATTTCGAGTTGTAAGCTGTTTTTCCTAACCAAACTCTGCATTATGCATGGTTGAGGAGTTGCTATTGTTTGCTTTCCAACATAACTCATTGCCTGCATGTCTTCTAACGATATTCTCTGCGTTCCCTTCAAGTATTCCATCCTGAAAAGATTGTTAATATTTTCAACATGACTCCTCATGTACGTGAGGACCAAGTTTTATTCATCTTGATCTATATATCACATGGAAATAATGTGTGACAGTGAAATTTAAACTCAAGACGGATCCATCTGCTTTGATACCATATTTAAATGTGTGATTTATATATATGACACATTTTAACATGAGAATTCAGAGTCTCAATGACCACATAGTTGAACATATACAACATGAAGATATAAAATAATAAGTTCAAATCATCATGAGTATTATTTACTATTTATTTTCAAATCTCAACCAAATCATTTCTGAAACACGTAGGATTATCACTTATTAATGAAGATCTGAATCTATAGTGTTTAAAAAGTCGTTCAGTATAGTCATCTATATTTCATGAAAAGTCTTGCCTAGTACATTAATATTTTAATTCAAACAACAATAACATATTTATTATTACTAGTACAAACTACGGAACAACATACCTTTGCTTTATAAGCTCAATTTTTGCTTCCAACGAGGCAGAAATTTGTTTCAATTGGTGAGTAGATAAATTATCGTAGAATTGATCCCACGTTGGATATTTAGCCTCATAATTCTTTTTACGTAATTTTGAAGACTCCGGGTGTGTTTGGTATGAAGGAAAATATTTTCTTAGAAAACAAGTTGATTTTTGACTTATTTTCTCATGTTTGGTTGGTGAGTAGAAAATATTTTCCGGAAAAGATTTTTAGTGTTTGATTTATGAATGAAAAATATTTTTGAGAAATATTTTTTATTTTTACTAGAGTAGAAAATAATTTTTGAAATTGAAAATAGTTTTTAAAAACAAACTTAAATTTTTTTCGGGGGGTGGGGGGTGGTAGGGGTGGCTGAAGGGGGGGGGTCGAGGGTAGGGGTGAAAAATTGAAATTTTGAAGTTGAAATTATTTTTTAAAAACAAACTTAAATTTTTTTTTGGGGTGGGGGCTGGTAGGGGGGTGGGTGGGGAGTCGAGGGTTGGGGTGAAAAAATAAAATTTTGAAGTTGAAAATATATTTTAATAACAAAATTAAATTTTTTTTGGGCGTGGGGGGGGGGGGGGTGTTGGTAGGGGTTGGGTGGGGTGGGGGGGACTGGATAGGGGTGAAAAAAATGAAATTTTGAAATTGAAAATATTTTTGAAAAACAAACTTAAAATTATTTTTTGGGGGTGGGGGTGGGGAGGGGCTGGTAGGGGGGTGGGGGTTGAGGGTAGTGGTGAAAAAATGAAATTTTGAAATTGAAAATATTTTTTAAAAACAAACTTGAAATTTTTTTTTTTTTTTGGGAGGTGGGGTGGGGGGCTGGTAGGGGGTGGGTGGGTGGGGATTCTAGGGGTGAAAAAATGAAATTTTGAAATTGAAAATATTTTTTAAAAACAAACTTAAATTTTTTGTGGGTGGTGGGGGGCTGGGTAGGAGGTGGGTGGGGGGGGGGTCAAGGGTAGATGAAACAATGAAATTTGAAGTTGAGAATATTTTTTAAAAACAAACTTAAATTTTTTTTTTGGGGGGGTAAAGGGGGGGTAGGGGGCTGGGTAGGAGGTGGGTGGGGGGTCAAGGGTAGGGCGAAAAAAATGAAATTTTGAATTTGTAAATATATTTTAAAAACAAACTCAATTTTTTTTTTTGGGGGGGGGGGGGGGTGTGTGACCGGAGAGGGAGGTGGGTGATCAAGGATCAGGATGAAAAAATAAAAATTTGAAGTTGAAAATATTTTTTAAAAACAAATTTAATTTTTTTTCTTTTTGAAGGGGGTTGGGGGCTGATAGGGGGTTGATGCGGGGGGGGGGGGGGGCGAGAGTAGTGGGTGGGGGTAAAAAAAATAAAAAATTGAAATTAGAAATATCTTTTAAAAACAAGTTTTAATTTTTTTTTGGGAGGGGGTGGGGGTAAGGGTGAGGGTGGGGTAAAAAAATTGAATTTAAAAACAAGCTTTAAATTATTTTTTTTTGGGGGGGGGGGGGGGTGGAGGGGTGGTTTGAGGGTAGGGACAGAATAAATTGATTTTTTCAACAAAAAAATAATTGTAATTTGAAGTTGGAAGAGAGTTTTGGAAAATGTTTTCCTTAAGTTTAGAAGGGAAGTCATTTTCCTTAAATTTGAGGAAAATGAGTTGATTTGGAAAACATTTTCCAAAACATTTAGTCCAACCAAACATGAGAAAATTGGAAAACATTTTCCGGAAAATGTTTTCCTTCATACCAAACACACCCTCCATCTCCACATTTTTTGCTATCTCCCTGAAGTAAAACGATAAATCATGGGGCCTCAGACGATGACCTCTATACGATTCGATTAAGCTCTGCACAGTCTCTTTTTCAGGCCACAATGTCGCGGGTTCCTCTTGCACCTTGTCCCCGTATATTATCACGCAGAGTTTAACTTGACACAGAATTGATAATTCTTCAGCTTTTCTCTCCAAACCTTTTTTCCTCTTTTGATACGTCAAATTTCGAGATCTTTCGTTTTTAATAAGTTCCATGCCAATTTTCCTTCGACCCATCTGACAATTAATACGTTCACAAAAGTATTGGGCAATTTAGTCAATTTACATTGTAAAGGAAAATATAAGGAATTTGTGGTACACAATTTCAAGATTTTTTTGCAAGGGGTAGTCTTTAAACCTCAATCTCATATTGTTAAAGAATACAACAAGAAAAGGGAAAATGACACTGAAGAAAATATAGCAATTAATTTGATATTGCTATGAGCGAAAACACAATAGACAACAAATGGTGATATACACTTAAAGAATAGGGCTAATACTACGTACGATAGACGACACTCCATTACTCTTATCCCATATTGTTAGAATAATTACGTATTTTGATGATTAAATAATACTTTAGCACCCAAGGCACGTTCAAGGGATAAAAGAACATTGAAAGCATATATATGTACATCTTCTTGATGAAATAGTTTCTTGTAACAATACTAATAAGAAAGTCATAGTAATTAATATGCAAACATATAAATCAAGAAATTAATTAATTACCTCTTTGTTAATTAATCTCAACACCACACAAGGGTGGTCAGAGAAGTCTGCAGTTAGCAGTCAGCCTGAAAGAAAAGTAGACAAAAAGTTTCGTAACACAATTTCTTGAATAATTGCAAAATAATATGAGACGATGAAACTTGCAATTACTTATATTAATGAGTAATTATAGAATATATAATCCAAACAAAAAAACAGAAAATTGCCCAAAATGAGCAAGAAAGAGAGAAATTGAAATTTGAGAAAAAGGATACCAAAGCCAATTTGCAACTTTGTATGTATGAGGCCTTCTCTTCTATCTCCTTTTTAGGTATTTTATACTTCCCGTTTATTATTTTTTACATTATATAAGTTGTATTATTTTGAGAAGAAAATTTATTCTTTCCTTTTTGGTTATATTTACTGTCTTAATTAATTTTGTTTGTTACCTTTTAGGTTCTTAGTTGGCTGCGTTTCCTTTTTTAGTTTCTTATATTGTCTTGTGCAATGTACACGCTTTAGTAATTGAAACCTTTTAGTTTTTATTTAATTTACTAATACTTGGAAAGTACCATATTTTATATAGGTCTACGCGGTTGTTTATTTGGAAAACAAGAAAGGAAAAATTGTGATTTCATAGTGCTTGTTTATATCGTAAACGCGACCCCTCTATTTGGCCATAGATTTTGAGGATTTTTTAAAAATAAAATAAAATAAAAATAAATATTATTTGTTCATCAAATTTGATGAGTTTATAAAGTTAACTTCAAAAGAATTTCAAGCTTCAAAAATCAGTCAAAACCAGTTTTTGAGTGAAACTTCACTTTCTAAAACAAATACTTTTAACTTTATACCGAGTAAAATACATGTCCAAACACACTTTTAAATTCCAACAAAAGTATTGTTCAAACACTCCTTGTCAATATATAAAAGGTTAAATCTTTTGAAGAACGTTACAAAATCTTTTTGGGATCAAGAGTTACTGAATTGCATCATTTTATTCAACAGGTCATGGTCATTAGCAGACTTTTCACTTTCGATGCCGTACCCGTGTCGAATTCTTCAACCATACACTACTTTTGGCGAATTTGACACACACCCCAATGACATTTTTTAAGAGTCCGAGCAATATGGGTCATTAGGCATTAACATTTATATTGAACAAGGCCAAGGGAAGGGGGAAGAGGACAAGCAAGAAGATAGAAATGCTTTGTTTCTGCAAAATGAGGTGGGAAGATGCAAATAACTAAGAACTCCTATATTCTTTTTTCTTGTATATATACATAAGATATATTTCCAATTTGTGTTGCAACAGCACATAAAGACAATTTCTACAAGGAGCATTTGCAACATCTTACACATAATAGTTCCAATAGCTATGCCCCAAAAAAAAGGGATGAGTTACTGTGGAACTTTTTCTACTTAAAATTAGCTCATACCATGAAGTGAACCATCTCCCATGGCTAGTATTGCCCTGCTTGATAGAAAAACTACATATATGGTCATAAGTCCCAATCCCAACGACTTGCTAGGCCGCATATCGTTTCGAGGTAGTACAATGAGTGCCCAAACCAGGGCTAACATTAGAAATCCCATTGTGTAATACAAGCTATTATCTCTTGGAAGGATATAAGATTCTGGCCTACTCGACAAGGCTCCAAGGAGCATGGAGATGCCTAAACCAGCAAGGGTGTTGAACATAGGACCTGCATAACATCCTGACATGGCAATCTGCACACCATCTGCACTATTACCTGCTATTACAACATTTGACATTAAGTCACCCATAGAGTTTCCCCATGCCAAGACGGTTAACGCAAGAATTGATGGATTGACACCAAAGATGACACCAAATGCCACTAGCAGAGCCACTAGCTCGTTTGCCACGATATAAAACCAAATGATACTCATAAAGAAGCCTCCCAAGAGCCATGGAAACAAGAATCTTTTCGGTGGGTGATTGGCTGAGGTATAGACAAATGCAACACCTCCAAATATACCACCAACTACAGCACCAACAACATATGCAGTGGTAGCAGGGCAACTCAAATTGTCCTGAGTGTTCCAAAGGAATGCTAAAAGCAAGGGCGCCAAAGAAGCACTAGAAACAGCATACAGTTTTGACCATCTGTCCTCATCAACAATGGGGATCGTTAACCTTCTTGGGAGTGTCAATGGTATTTCTAGCAGTGCAAACAACTTAGAACAGGATAGGGAAGAAGACTGGTCATCGACATCATCCTGTTCATTCCAACCCCACAAATCCATTGGACTACTTTCTACGGAATTATCCTTCACAACTTCATCAGAGAAGATTGCCACATTTGAAGACCACATCCAATGTGGCAGCTGAGCTTGTAGCTGCAGCAATCCATCAGCTGATTCCGACCCACCTAAAGAAGAATCGCTCTCTCCATCTATGCTACTCGATGTAACTGGTAACAACGGAGCAATTAAATCCAACTTCAAACTACTATTGCGATCCCTAAGCATCTCATTTGCAGCAACAAAACCAGCATACACCAAATAAATAGAGATAAAGGCAACAGCACCTAAAACTGCCACCTTGCCTAGACTCAAAAGAGTAAGAAGCGAAACGAGAGCTATAATAAAGAAACACACATCCCTAATAAAGCACTTCTTATCAATCTGTATACATTGTTCTGCAACACACAAGGAAACAGTACCAACTACAACACATGTAACAAAAACAGCACCACCAAGAACACTATTCAACCCCACCTCCCCAGAATCACTCCCCATAAAAGCAGCAATACTAGCAAACACATCAGGCGCCCCATTCCCTAAAGGAAGCAGAGTAACTCCTGCTACAGTTGGGGGTAATTTCAACAAATTGGATAGCTTTTCAAGACAACAACAGAAGTAATCAGCAGCGGTATTTCCCAACAGATAGAACAAAGAAATCAACCAAATAGCAAGAGTCACATATCCAAAAATACTAAAACCTTCACAGCTACAGTAAAAGAAGAAAAGATAATTGAAGAAACCTCCTGAATTACATTGAGGATTTGCCTTCAAGTAGTCACATTTTGTACTGTAACCTTGATGTTTATACAACCCTCCACAGAGCTTGATATCCCTGCTGCTTTCACCCAAATGATGATAACTCAAACTCGTTTCCTTTCTAACAGCACTAACTTTGAAAGGTTTCTTAGAAAGTGGACTTTGAACAACATCTTCTCGACGGAAAAAGAAAACAACCAATACAGACAAACAGAGCCCATTGAAAATTCCACGAAACCTGGACCGTTTTCGACAGTTAAACCGATTCTGTGTTTCCATTTATTGAATTCTCAGAAAGAAAGTGACTAAATAGGGGAAAAAGACAAATCTTTTGAATTTTATTGATCAAGATTGGAGAATTTGGACAAAATTGTCAAGTGGGGTTTGAAGAAAACAGAATTGAGGAATTTGTAGGTGGTTTTCAGGGTGAAAATTAAGGATATTCTTTAGGTGTGAAAAGAAGAAATGGTAAGAGGTGAAGAAGGGAGCAAGAAAATAGGGAGCCATGGATGCTTGACAAGCGGTCGCTTTCTATAATGTATCATTCCTGTTTGGGCCACCACTTCCTTCAATAAGGTTAGCTATACTATGCCCAATCATACAATCCATAATATTATCAAAATTAAATTTCTTTTTTCTCTCTTTTCATTTATATTATTCAATTTCAAAAAAAATAAATTAACATTAAAGTGGTAATTTATTCATTAATTTTATAAATTGGACAAATATTGTTCAAAATAGTATAGTACTTAGACAAGTAAAGATGGACAAACACAATCTACTCCCTCCGTCCAATAATAGTTGTCCACTATACTATTTTTGAATATCCAACAATATTTTGTCCACTTGATGAAATCAATGGATAATTTTACAGTTCTTAATGTACCCTTATCATAATTATATTCATTTTTATATTATATTTTTCAAGACATTATAATTATTATATTCAAAAAGTGATGTAGTAAATTTTCTTCTATTTCTTATTTTTTAAGAAGTGTGCATGGTCAACAGTAAACAAGTATTGTTGGACAGAAGGAGTATATTAAACCATAAATTTTAAGAATCTTATGTTCTTTTTAAAATTTTGTGTCAAGCTAAACTAACTCATAAAAATTAAGACGAAAAAAGTAAATTATATGGATATGAAACATTCTTTTAAGAATAAAATGATTATGGATATAATTTATTACCTTTTTGATTATTTTTAAACTAGTCTCTAAGAAAATGAAATATAAATACATAAAAAAATCTAAATATAATCTATTTTGAATTATAAAATAAAGTTTCAACGATTCATTGAATAATAATTTATTTACTTTAAACTATAAAATAAACCTTAACAATTCACTCAATATAGACTAAATGAGATATTGATAAATTGGAATTAAATTTCAAAATTCTTTTTTTTATTCCTAGTTGAAATTCTTTTCTTTTCTACTAAGTAAGACTTTTTTGTGGTTTCTCTTCTTTAAATTTAAGTTTGCGTGTGTCGGTTTGGAAAACAGTAGGAACAAAAAGTTTTCTTTTTTTTAATATAATAAAAGCGACTTGTTGTCTAGACGGCAAGATACCGACATTTTTTCCAAAAATAAATACTTGAAAATAGTCATAGATTTGCTATAATTACGTATTAATTCAATTTTAATTGACTACATTAAACAAATTATACGTCAATAAATGTAACATTATTTAAACCTAATGTAAAAAGAATTTGAATTTACCATGATATATGTGGCCTCGTGGAAAGAAAATCAACAGAAAAAAAAATACTCTCTCCATTTCATATTAATTGAATTTTTGAGATATTTCACATTTTTTAAGAAAAGTAGATTAAGACATAAATTGAACATAGTTTTCCATTTTTACCCTTATTAATTATTGTCAAATTTATTGAAGTCATCACATTGAAAATCCAAATGAAGGGTAAAATTGGAAGAACACTATAAAAGTAGTCTTGAAAACTGAACAATTAAGTTAATTTGAAAAATGGAAAATATCTCAAAAATTCAATTAATATGGAATGGAGGGAGTATATTTTTGGATTCAGAAAAATAATGTGTCTGAAAAAAAGAATATTTTTATTATTTTTTTATATTGATAAACGTGAATGAAGAGCAAACAATTAAAATCAAAATTAACCACGTGTTATTTTAGAATTAGATATTTATTTTTAATTATTTAGGGACCTTTTTTATTTTTTAGCTTTTCCTTCTTTTTTCCCCTCTTTGTTCTTTAAACTTTCTTTCTCCCCCACCAACAGATTAATCTACATATATTATTTTGAACCCCTCTTTTAATTTTATTTTCTATTATAAATTTTGTTTGTTAGTTTAGCTTTTCAATTTCTTAAATTATTGAATGATAATAAATTATTCCGATGAGAACATCATTTTTGATGAACTTTCATTTTTTTTATTAAGTTTGTAGAACTGTTATGAAAATTGATATAAAATTTTTTATTAAGTTTGTAGAGCTGTTATGAAAATTGATAAAATTTGAGGAAGAAAAATTTATAATAGTAAAGATAATGATGATGATGATGAGCAAAGAAAAAGAAGTTGGAAGCGGTAAGATTGTGGATTTATTAATGAACGTGAAAAGAAATGAATCAAATCGATGATAATGATAATGTCAATATGAAAAAGAAGAAATGGATGGATATAGCGGTTTTATAAGAAATGGACGGAATGATATTATACATTTTAAAATATTATTAACTTTACTTTTAACATGTATTTGTCAAATTATTAATTTGAGTACAAAAGCAACTTCAAAATATGAACATACGACAAATCATATTTAATTCCTATCTTCTTCAGTATTATCTTGATTATTACTCCTCCAATGGAATATTTAATGTCTTTTTTCAAAAATTAACGGAAGGATTTCTGTATGTTGATCAGTCTGTGGGACAAGCTAATTAATGAATTCTTGAAATGTGTAAACTTGTGAGACACTTTTGCTTCAACCAAAAAAGGGATAATTTTTTGAGAAGTAATAACTATATATTATAGTATATGTATTAATTTAATAGTTTAGGTGTGTTAAAGAATGACAAAAGTTTCATATCGGTGGCTAATGAGATGGGTGGACTTCTTATAAGGCTTGGGCAATCCTCCTCCCTTTGAGCTAGCTTTTAGAGTGTGAGTTAGGCCTAAGACCTAATTTAACATGGTATCAGAGCAGGGTCCGTCTCACCCGATGTTGGGCCCCCAAAATCAAAATTGCACACGCACTGGGCGTGAGGTGGGGTGTTAAAGAATGACAAAAGTCCCACATCGGTGTTTAATGAAATGAGTGGACTCCTTATAAGACTTGGGCAATCCTCCTCCCTTTGAGCTAGCTTTTGGGGTGTGAGTTAGATCTAAGACCTAATTTAACAAGGTGTATAAAATAAAAGTAATTAACTAAAGATAATAAGGCTTGGTAAGAATGGGAAGGAGAAAAATTATGTATCATTTCAATTCTTAGTCTCATCTCATAATGAAGGTAGCAAGCCTATTTATAGGCAAAAAACACGTGGTAAGAAACAACAATCACAAGTTATTCACTAACTTGCACAAGTTGTGCACAAGATTTCACACTCTTAACACACACTGTACACACGCCTCATTTATGGCATCCATAATTCCACAACACTCTCCCTTGGATGTCCATGTCTTGATTGATAATATGGCTTAATAAAATCTTAACGAAAGAAACTTTAGTGAAAGAAAAAGAGTACATATATCTTTAAATACACATTTGCTTGCTACCTCATTAAAAACTTTGCTAGGAAAACTCAATGGGACAAAACCTAGACTAAGGAAAGAAGAGTACAACACACATTCTACTTCCCTGATGAAGATCACGATTTAGATTGTTAAGTCTTCACATTTCAATTTTGTGTATCATCTTCTCAAGAGTTGAGGCTGATAAAGATTTGGTGAATAAATCTATTGGATTATCACTTGAGCGAATTTGTTGTACATCAATATCACAGTTCTTCTGAAGATCATGTGTGAAGAATAATTTTGGTGAAATGTGCTTCGTTCAATCTCCTTTTATGAATCCTCTTCTTAATTGAGTTATGCATGCAATATTGTCTTCAAAGAGAACTATGGGTACCTCAACATCACACTTCAAGCCACATCTTTCTTTAATGAAATGTATCACTAATCTTAACCATACACATTATCTACTTGCTTCATGAATAGCTATTATCTTAGCATGATTTGAAGAAGTAGCGACAATTTACTGCTTCGTAGATTGCCATGATATAGCAATGCCTTCGTATGTGAACACATAACATGTTTGAGATCGAGCCTTATGTGGGTCAGATAAATAACTCGCGTTTGCATAACCAACAAAATCTGCACTATCTTTGTTAGTATAAAACAGACTCATATCACTGGTCCCCTTAGATATCATAATATATGTTTAACTCCGTTCCAATATCTTCGTGTAGGGGAAGAACTATATCTTGCTAACAAATTAACAGAAATGTTATGTCAGATCTCGTAGCATTAGCAAGATACATAAGTGCACCAATTGCACTAATATGTGATACTTCATGACCAAGAGGTTCTTCATTCTCTTCTTGAGGTCGGAACGGATCTTTACCCACTTCAAGTGATCGAACAATCATTGGAGTACTTAATGGATGTGCTTTGTCCATATAAATTCGTTTCAAATTTTTCCCAATATAGGCATATTGATGATGAAGACCACGTCTGCTAAATGTTCAATTTGCAGACCAAGATAAAGTTTTGTCTTTTCAAGGTCCTTCATCTCAAATTCTTTCTTTAGATATTCAATTGCCTTTTGGACCTCTTCTGAGTTCCAATGAGATTAATGTCATCCACATAAACAACAAAAATAACAAATCCTGACGTTGTTTTCTTGATAAAAATACAAGAACAAATGACATTATTTATATAATCTTCTTTTATCAAGTACTCACTAAGGCGATTATACCATATGAGTCCTGATTGTTTTAAGTTGTATAAGGACTTTTGTAATCTAATTGAGCACATTTCTCAAGATTTTGAACTATATGTTTTAGACATTTTAAATCCTTCTGGGAATTTAATATAAATTTCATTATCAAGTGAGGCGTAAAGATAAGCCGTAACCACATCCATCGGATGTATTTCAAGATTTTTCACGTACAGCTAGACCGATGAGATATCAAAAAGTTATTGCATCCATAACTGGTTAATATATTTCTTCATAGTCGACACCGAATCTTTGAGAGAATCCTTGTGCAACAAGACATGCCTTGTATTTTATAATTTCATTTCTCT